CTATAATTACAATTTGGTAATTGTGATTTTTTTCGTAAACTTTAAATTGCTGACCATCCCTTTTCATCCCTTCCCATTACATTAAAAACTATTATTTGATATAATAAATCAAATAAATAAATGATTGAATTTTTAGCAGTGCTTTAAAATTATTGTTATTTTATTAAGATTTATGAAATTAAAGTCATTTATAATTTAATTTGAATATAATTTCATTTGATTTGATTGATTGTATTTATTTATCCTAAAATAATCTTAAAATGTTCATATATTCATAGAATGATGAATACGATTGTCTCATCTGTTTAAACATTACAGTCAAACGAAATCCCGTAAGAATTGAAGTGATATTTGAATGAAAAGTAGAATATATATGAAAGCAATCAATCATTGCATTTGCAGAAAGCATTAGAGAAGATGGTATCACATAAGACGGGTCTTTCAACACTGACTTCTTGTATTGTTAGTAATTTGATTAAATCACGACTCATAGCACTACAGGTAATCATAATGAGGATGTGATTGATTAAGAGCACGCTCGAGTACTTATCTACAAATTGCATCCCTATTACAGCTGTTGACTAAAGTCTGTGACCAACCATTTGGCGCAAACAAAGTGCTCGAAGCCATGTCCACAATGAGGATAATCTTCGGCGAATCAGTTCGCTTTAAGTTCTTAGTCTCGATGCTTAACTCATCGCATAATTGCTCGTCTAATGGTATTGAATACAATGCACTCTCGCTATTGAATGCAATTCTTAGCAAAACGAGTAGTCGTGAGGAAAGGATACGACTTCAGTGCGAACTTCGAGAGGCCGGCCTGGATGTCGACTCCTTTGAAAAAGTAACTTAATTCACATTTGTCTACATTATTCATATCATCTATTTACTTTATAATATGTTTTAGTTTTATACATATTTTTATTAATCTTATTTGAGTTTCACATGTCTGCGAATAAATATTTAACTTTAGTTAATGTTTATATAAATACTTAAATAAATATTTGATTGCATTTATAGGCTCTGATCGAAAGGAATATCTCAAAGAATGAATTAATATGGAAAGAGATCCAAACATTTCGTATCCAATACTTGAAACTAAATGATACCAAAATCCAAAACAACGGCAATAAGGATGAGCTGAAAGAAGAGGTGCAGATCTTGCAGAGGGCTCTCAATGTATGTCCGAATTTATGACATTTGCATTAATAAGTTATAAATATTAATACATATTTTGTTAGCATTTGTATTAATACTATGTGTTTATATATGTGTCAGAAACTGGAAGCCGACAAAATCAGTTTAATGACGATTGAGAAAGAAGTAAATCCTATTATAACGCTTTTGCCGCTTTAAATCTTATGATTTGTTTGGTTTGTTTAGTTGAAAGAAAAATGTGAGGATTTGGAGCAAGAAGTGGATCACTTGAAGACCAAATTCAATGTCTTAATACCTGTTGATAAGAAAGTATCGCAACGAACGGGCAGTGATAACGGAACGGGAGATTCGGGTCAATGGAGTGATTGTGACATTGAAACCAATAAATTAAATCCCAAACAAAAAGCTATTGCAAAGGATTTGAATAAAAATAGTTATAATTGCGATCAGAATATGAGGAATGAGGAGGAATTCATTTATGTGCCGGCAATACATCCGCCCAAAGATTTTGCTCATTATGTCAAACGTGAACAACAAATGAATGCTTTTAAAGAAACAAATTCTGGGAATTATAGCAAAATAAATGGAAAACCTTTTTATAATAATAGAAAAAATGAGAGACAAGAAGAGGAAACCCGTTGGAAACAAAGACAGAGGAATACCAGTCGTGATGTGACAGAGGAGATGGTGTCCAACATTAAGCCACATGTTGTGGACGTTTTGCCGAAATACAGATTTGACAAAACAAATGACAAATACTCGGAATCATCGATTGGAACCGATAGAGAAAATTCGGAACTCATTCTTAACTGGAATTACTCTAAAATGGATGATAAAACTGGTGGTCAAGAGAGTGATAAGTATGAGACACATAGAGCTCTGTCGCGATCTATGAATCACATCCATTACATGAGTAACAGTCATAATGAGGACAGAAGTGATATCCGATCCTCAAATTCACAGCATTTATCACATTTGAATGGAAACAACAACTTCTCTCTGAACACTCATTTCAAACCCATTGACAGCTCATTAAAACAGGATTTAAGTCAAAGTAATGGTTCGCTTGCATCGGATCGGAATAAAAAGAAAAACATAAAGTCTTCACTTCAGTCCTACTTCTTTGCCGGTAATTCTACTCTCAAACAAAACAATAAAACAGATTTTCATAGCATTGATAGCATCGACGACTCTCTGAAATCATTTCCTTTTCCAAAGACTTACAAAAAGAATTTTATACTCAAAGGACACGGAAATTGTGGTCTCTATTCGGGTTCTCGACATAAGATCACTAATGAAACGCTTCCCCGCAATGTGTGCGACGACCACAAGAGTTCAAACCATTCTAGTGGTGCTGTCAGTGCTTTAGTCCACAAAGAGATTACTGAAGCCCAGAGAGATATAGGCGCTTGGCTTTGATCTCAACATCACTTCTAAATTATTATTGATTATGCATTTTTATACAGTATTGTAATGTAAATTAAATCAAATAATAACTATGATAAAGAGTGCGAACTTTATATAATAATAAAATTATATAATTATATAAATTTTAATATAACTTATGTTTGTTTAGTATGAAATTACTTTATTCAAACTGTAATATAAATTATATTCTACTATAATACTGTACCGTACTAATAATAATAACCATAATTGTGCTGACTTGTGAATATTATAAATTTATATTTTTAATATAATACAAATATTTGTGAATTTCATTATATCAATAATGTATGATACTTATTTAAATTAGATCTAATGTTTTATTTTATCATTTTTACTGTAGTGACATTGATATTAAATTTATTTATGATTATTCAAAAACTAACTTTTTCTTGTTACAATATTAGTAAAAGTGATTATATTGAATCTGATGTTTTACATTTTGTGTGGTAAAAAATTTATCATTGAATTTAATTATCATTCAGTACAGTATAGTATAATAAAATTTATTTTTATTTAGCAGTCTTTTCAAATTATAATTATTAAATTTGTACTGTTGTCGACAAAATGTCCCACATTCGAGATATCATTAGAGAATTTCTAGTTATTATCATTATTTTTTATTAATGCATTCATATTCAGCAGTACTATTTTATATTTATCTGATAGACTCTATCATTCTATAATTTAAATTTAATTAAACAATTTTTAATGTAGTAAATATAGTTTATTAAAAATTAAAATCTTTAATTAGTCATTGGGTTTAAAATTTTGAATTGATAATACGGTATCATATAAAATAAAAACTTAAAACTGTTTTAATAAAAATTATATTGAAATCTTAAGAATAAAGAATATAAAAGTGGTCAGTGCAGTGTATGATATACAATATTAAATATAGTGCACTGTGTCCCTTAATGAATCTTTGACATCTTTGTCATGGCATCCATAAGCAGTTGCACTTCACCTGAGTTTAAAAGTACAATACTTTACAGTATGAACTGACGTGAAAGTAAACGACTCTTACCTTGTATACTTCTGGCCACAGATTCCAACTGAACCTTAGAGTCAAGAATCTCAAGACTTTGTGTGTAAGGGTTGTAGCGAACAGTAAAAGGCCGGGGAATCGTTAGCGCGAATTCTCTATCAGTTATTTCATAATAATTGGTTTTGAATTTCATATTCAAAATAACAATCTATTTGTGGATGAATAATAAATTGACAGAAAATACCTGAGTTTTTGTTGGGCGTCATCAAAGCTCTCGGCCAAGAAATAGATGGGTTGGTATTGGGTTATCGGATACTTTTGATCTCCGGTCACATACGGATCAAATGGCTTTATCTGTGGCTTACCACTCAGACAGTACTGAATATTATAATTTATAAATAAACTAAAGTTATGATTCAATTCAACACAAATCTATTGCTGTAAAACCTCTAATTCCCCAAAACTGGACAACAGTCCGGCGCCGTAAGCCTTAACCTCTCCGTTCTGTTTGCAAAGTCCAAACTCAATGGTAAACCAGTAACAAGTGGCCAACTTCTCGATGTACTCGTCGGGTGCCCCCAAAGAGGCCAAACCTATTTCTTGCGAGAATTTGGCGAAACTGGGGTCAGCGAAGAGGGGCGCGTGACCTAACAACTCGTGACACACGTCCGGCTCCGGTGTGTATAACGGCATAGAGGGGTGTCGTATGTATTGAGTGGTTTGAAACACTCGGAATGCAAGTCCGGCCAAAAAGTCCCGGGAACTCAAAAGTCCTGCCACTGGTCTTAAAGTAAATCCGGTGCTGTCTATCAACCCATTGAATACATGTATTAGAAATTATTTGATCTGTATAGTTGTGTCTGATTTTAAAAAATTATTTATAAATTCTTAAGATTGAAGAATAATGTAAGTTTTAAATAATATTGTTATGAGAGTAGATGCCACTTATTTATTAAGAAATTGAGTTTATTTTAAATTATTTGAGATTTTGTTACCCTTTAGAAAGTTGGACACATCCTCGAGTTGTGGGATATTATCCTCTCTATAGCCACAGTTCTCAATCATAAGTGGGAATATATGGTTGTGTTCGTGACACGCATGTGTTGGGTATAGTTTAATCAAATTGTTGAATACCTTTCCCCAAGTCTCAACCTCNGGGATATTATCCTCTCTATAGCCACAGTTCTCAATCATAAGTGGGAATATATGGTTGTGTTCGTGACACGCATGTGTTGGGTATAGTTTAATCAAATTGTTGAATACCTTTCCCCAAGTCTCAACCTCATGTTCCGTATATTCAATGTATGGCAATTTCTCTCCGCTTAAATAACAAGTTGTTTATTTTAACAAGCACACAAGTACTGTATAATAATATGATAAAGATTACGGTACTTACTACTTGTAATTATAAGCCAAGTCTGCAAAATATTTACGCCGAGCTCTGTATTTCAAATCAGTGAAACCCTAATGTTGTATAAAATATTTAATATAAGTTGATTGACATTTATTTAAAATAATTAGAACTATAATGTTCTGGATACTTTTTTATATTTTGTTATTAACTATCACTAGTTAATGCACCGTATTGTGAGTGCAATAAATGAAACTTAAACTCGTTTATATAAGTTTGTAAATATTAGTAATTGAAACTTCCTTTCCATTTGAAAAATAAATAAATTATAGAATGAGAAATAAAATTATAACTAATATGAGGTGATAGAGAATAAGATAAAAGTGACAAACAGGATGGTCTGCATCCAGTTCCGAGCCATAGGAGAGTATATGATTAGCAAATCTGTCCAAATCCTTGATCCGATTGGGAAACCAGTACTGATAGAGAATTCGCGCTAACGATTCCCCGGCCTTTTACTGTTCGCTACAACCCTTACACACAAAGTCTTGAGATTCTTGACTCTAAGGTTCAGTTGGAATCTGTGGCCAGAAGTATACAAGGTATGAGCCGTTTACTTTCACGTCAGTTCATACTGTAAAGTATTGTACTTTTAAACTCAGGTGAAGTGCAACTGCTTATGGATGCCATGACAAAGATGTCAAAGATTCATTAAGGGACAACACAGTGCACTATATTTAATATTGTATATCATATACTGCACTGACAACTTTTATATTCTTTATTCTTAAGATTTCAATATAATTTTTACTATTATAAAACAGTTTTAAGTTTTTATTTTATATGACACCGTATTATCAATTCAAAATTTTAAACCCAATGACTAATTAAAGATTTAAATTTTTAATAAACTATATTTACTACATTAAAAATTGTTTAATTAAATTTAAATTATAGAATGATAGAGTCTATCGGATAAATATAAAATAGTACTGCTGAATATGAATGCATTAATAAAAAATAATGATAATAACTAGAAATTCTTTAATGATATCTCGAATGTGGGACATTTTGCCGACAACAGTACAAATTTAATAATTATAATTTGAAAAGACTGCTAAATAAAAACAAATTTTATTTTATTATACTGTACTGAATGATAATTAAATTCAATGATAAATTTTTTAAACACAAAATGTAAAACATCAGATTCAATATAATCACTTTTACTAAAATTGTAACAAGAAAAAGTTAGTTTTTGAATAATCATAAATAAATTTAATATCAATGTCACTACAATAAAAATGATAAAATAAAATATTAGATCTAATTTAAATAAGTATCATACATTATTGACATAATGAAAATGAAAAATATTTTTATTATATTAAAAATATAAATTTATAATATTCACAAGTCAGTACAATTATGGTTATTATTATTATTAGTACGGTACAGTATTATAGTAGAAAATAATTTATATTACAGTTTGAATAAAGTAATTTCATACTAAACAAACAAACATAAGTTATATTAAAATTTATAAATTATTATATAAAGTTCGCACTCTTTATCATAGTTATTATTTAATTTAATTTACATTACAATACTGTATAAAATGCATAATCAATAATAATTTAGAAGTGATGTTGAGATCAAAGCCAAGCGCCTATATCTCTCTGGGCTTCAGTAATCTCTTTGTGGACTAAAGCACTGACAGCACCACTAGAATGGTTTGAACTCTTGTGGTCGTCGCACACATTGCGGGGAAGCGTTTCATTAATGATCTTATGTCGAGAACCCGAATAGAGACCACAATTTCCGTGTCCTTTGAGTATAAAATTCTTTTTGTAAGTCTTTGGAAAAGGAAATGATTTCTGAGAGTCGTCGATGCTATCAATGCTATGAAAATCTGTTTTATTTTTTTGTTTGAGAGTAGAATTACCGGCAAAGAAGTAGGACTGAAGTGAAGACTTTATGTTTTTCTTTTTATGTAGATCCGATGCAAGCGAACCATTACTTTGACTTAAATCCTGTTTTAATGAGCTGTTAATGGGTTTGAAATGAGTGGTGAGAGAGAAGTTGTTGTTTCCATTCAAATGTGATAAATGCTGTGAATTTGAGGATCGCATATCATTTCTGTCCTCATTATGACTGTTACTCATGTAATGGATGTGATTCATAGATCGCGACAGAGCTCTGTGTGTCTCATACTTATCACTCTCTTGACCACCAGTTTGATCATCCATTTTAGAGTAATTCCAGTTAAGAATGAGTTCCGAATTTTCTCTATCGGTTCCAATCGATGATTCCGAGTATTTGTCATTTGTTTTGTCAAATCTGTATTTCGGTAAAACGTCCACAACATGTGGCTTAATGTTGGACACCATCTCCTCTGTCACATCACGACTGGTATTCCTCTGTCTTTGTTTCCAACGGGTTTCCTCTTCTTGTCTCTCATTTTTTCTATTATTATAAAAAGGTTTTCCATTTATTTTGCTATAATTCACAGAATTATTGCCAGAATTTGTTTCTTTAAAAGCATTCATTTGTTGTTCACGTTTGACATAATGAGCGAAATCTTTGGGCGGATGTATTGCCGGCACATAAATGAATTCCTCCTCATTCCTCATATTCTGATCGCAATTATAACTATTTTTATTCCAATCCTTTGCAACAGCTTTTTGTTTGGGATTTAATTTATTGGTTTCAATGTCACAATCACTCCATTGACCCGAATCTCCCGTTCCGTTATCACTGCCCGTTCGTTGCGATACTTTCTTATCAACAGGTATTAACACATTGAATTTGGTCTTCAAGTGATCCACTTCTTGCTCCAAATCCTCACATTTTTCTTTCAACTAAACAAACCAAACAAATCATAAGATTTCAAGTCGCAAACCGTTATAATAGGATTTACTTCTTTCTCAATCGTCATTAAACTGATTTTGTCGGCTTCCAGTTTCTGACACATATATAAACACATAGTATTAATACAAATGCTAACTAAATATGTATTAATATTTATAACTTATTAATGCAAATGTCATCAATTCAGACATACATTGAGAGCCATCTGCAAGATCTGCACCTCTTCTTTCAGCTCATCCTTATTGCCGTTGTTTTGGATTTTGGTATCATTTAGTTTCAAGTATTGAATACGAAATGTTTGGATCTCTTTCCATATTAATTCATTCTTTGAGATATTCCTTTCGATCAGAGCCTATAAATGCAATCAAATATTTATTTAAGTATTTATATAAACATTAACTAAAGTTAAATATT